TAAATCTTTACGTAAGCCAATATGATAAAGACGTTCTTTTAACGAATAATGCAGCTCAATGAAAATTTTATTTCATTCATAATCCGTACAAAGAAGATAGACCAAGCCCCTGCTCGCATGCAAAAAAACGAAAAGTAATCTATAAAGAAAGAAAGAAACCCTTTCTACGTTGTCTGGTGCGGTGTGACTGCTTTCTCATGCACCAGTAAATCGTCGCCGTCGCAAACAATCCACTCAAGTAGAAATTTCGAGATTTTTCGATTCTGTACACACTTCCAAAGCTCTATCAAAGATGGATACATGTATACCTTTTAACATTACCAAAATAAATGCAGTTCAATACTAAGGTTGAAGCTTGCAGTTTTCTTGCTTTTTAACATTCACGAAAGGAACAACATAACAAAAACTAAAGGAGGGGGGGGGGGTGGAGTTTGTCTCTGGTTTAAAAAAGGATTTCCCAACAGGAATTAGGCGGATTGCTTGCGAAACCAAAGAAATCCACTTTAAAAAATGTCCGACCGGAATTAGATGGATTATAATTTGCGACACCGATGAAATTCACCAAAAAATACCCTCCTGAATTAGGTGGATTGCGTTCGACACCGTCGGAATGCACAAGAGCCATATATCTATACACAAAAGAGCAGGAGACCGTGAGAAAAAAACATGTAGGCTGTGTCAACAAGTAGGTCTTCCAGGGGCAAGTCAGTCGGAATGTCAATCCCCTTCCGCCACCAGTCAAAGCAAAATCCTGATGATATTATGTAGCAGCCAGTCAATGCACAGTGAACTCTCTGACCTAGACAACGGTATTAACTGTGTTTTAATGAGGATATTGTATTATTTGTTACCGGTAGCAGGAATTGTTGTTGTTTTGGGGGTTTTTTGGGCTTTGTTTTGTTTTGTTTTGTTTTGTTTTTCTGCTTGCTCGGGCATTATATTGTTGTATGTGGCAGACAGACAGACTGTTCATAAAGAAGTCAGGGCATGCCAACTTTCGGATAACGCCGTTCTCAGTTTGCTGTTTACATTGGAGACTGAGATGACAGAGGTAAAGGGTGTGTACTCATGGTGGGAGAGAGAGAGAGAGAGAGAGAGAGAGA